TGTGTGTGTGTGTGTGTGTGTGTGTGTGTGTGTGTGTGTGTGTGTGTGTGTGTGTTTGGGTTTGGATAAGAGACCTTCAGAGAGAGAGAGAGAGAGCATCTTATTTTCATGAATGTAATATTGAAGGTGTGTGTTATCAAGGACGAGCGAGCACAGGAGAGAGAGAGAGGTTTTTATTCTAAGGTTGTGATCAACGTCTGCTTCAGTTCGAAGCTTCGTGTGTTTGTGACGCGATCGTAGAAGTTTTCCGATTCTTAAGTTATCTTACTTTTATGGATTAATGAAAAAATAAATCTGTTGAAACAATTCTGTGTGTCCTGATAACATTTACTTTGGAAAACACATCGAAAAAAAAGTTAAATTAAAAATATTTGAGCCACAACAGTTGATAAAACCAGATCAGGTCGAACATGTTCTAACTTTACGTTGTATTTGAAATTGTAATAAGTGGAACAAAATAAACTCAGACAGGGTTTCGAGGGAAGTTTTTCAAAGTAAAGATAATTTCTTCTTATTTGATTATTAGATTATTTATGTGATTTAAAACAGTGAAGCTTGAATCTGAGATCGATGATGTTTTAGAGACACAATCGCCTGAAAGACACAAAACGACTTCAAACAACTTCTTATTTTACTTGTAGTTATTTTCTGTCTCTTTTTGGTCGTTTTGTGTTTTACTGTGGTCATTGTCTGTCTTTGTGATGATGTCTCATCTTACTGTGGTACTTTTTAATCATTGTTCTCGTTCTGTGTGTCGTGTTTTAGTCATTTAGTGTTTTATTTAGGTAGTTCTTTGGAATAGTTTTTCTTTTTGTTGTCATTTCGTGTTATTGTCGTCGTCTGTGTGTTTTTCATTGCTCTAAGAATAACTGTCAGAATATAAAAGACAGAGTTAAATCAATAATGGAGATTAATAAAAATTACATCTGAATTATTCAAGTCATCTGTAGTGAAAATGATGCGTTACAGATCTGATAACAGACAGGAAACAGATGTTGCTGATGTCGTTAAACAAACGTCTGAACGATGTAAAGTTTTCAGTCATTTTCCCGCGATACGATCACAGGAGACATTTAAATCTGATCTGAAGAATATTTGAATTTACTTCACTTGTTTATTTGCAAATTCAATTTTAACGGTTAAGTCTCAGTTAACTTTCCTGGAAAATAGATTTTTACTGTTGCTGTTACTTTTCTCGCCTGTAGGTGGCACCGGTTGTCAACTGAAATCACAGTAACCATCTAAACATATATTTAACGTTTACTTAGATTTTTTTTTTTTAGTGAGGTTTGTGTCCAATCTGCTGACATGGTGGGGAGGGGCATTTTAACCTATACTGCAGAACACCACCAGGGGGTGATGGAGACATTTTGGCCTCACTTGAGCTTTCATGTCGTCCATCTTTATTCACTGTAGCTTTAACACTTAAAATTAAAACTCAATAACAGGAGCTGAAAGTGTTTATACTTCATATAACATCCAGTACACAGTACGTAGTATTATATATATACTGTGTGTGTGTGTGTGTGTTGTCGTCGACGGAGAGAAGAGAGAAGAAGAAGCTGCTGTCCTACATCTGGAGGTGGAGGAGGAGGCTCAGCTTTCATCTTCATTTAGCTATGGTGTGTGTGTGTGTGTGTGTGTGTGTGTGTGTGTGTGTGTGTGTGTGTTCAAAGCTCCATTGTGTTTCTGAGCTGCTCGGCTGCTGGAACCAAACAGAGGAGAAAGATCTGGAGCAGATTAGAATAAACGAGAGACCGAATAAAATGGATCCATGAAATAGAATCAAACCGAACAAAGTAGGACGAAGCAACACAAACTGATTCTGTGTCGTCGGCTCAGCTGCACTTTAACGTTGACTGAGCCTAAACTCAAACCTGCTCTTACCTGGAGAAACAACCTGCAGGGGGCGCTGTTTGTGAGGTCACACTGTGTGTTTCTGTGTGTCGTTAGTAACACGTGTGGCTTGTTTGTGTTTCAGATGAGGGGCCGTACACCAAACACTCCACCGGGTCCAGACCTCCAGACGGAGCGCTGGCCATCAGGAGGCAGAGTATCCCGGGTGAGTTCATCGTCTCCTCGCTCTGACTCCTGTCTGTGACTCCTGTCTGTGACTCCTGTCTGTGACTCCTGTCTGTGACTCCGCCTGCAGAGTCGACAGATAACAGAGTGTGTGCTGAAGTTTTCTATCTGTGACCTGCACTCGCTGTTTATCTCCTCACACCTGGAGCCGGTGGCTTATTTATAACTTTTATCTGAACTCGACAAACAGAACGAAGTGAAGCTGAAACCCACGAGGAGACAGTGAGATAACTGCGTCCCTGCTTCTGCTCTGGTTAATTCAAACCAAATGAAGTCACCCACAGAGTCACAGCTTCAGAAGCTCTGATCCTCCTCGTGGTTTCAAACCGACTGATTCTCTGCTGAACTCAGAGGCAGTTTTAGATTCGTAGTAAAATGTAAATTCATGTTGGACTCTGTTGTGCTTCATCTTCCCTCAGCGTAAATTGAACTTGTCAGTTTGTGAGGTTTCTCCTCCGTCGCTGCAGAAACTGGTTCATCTAACGTTTTGTTGTTTTCCGGGTCAAGATTTAATTTTCTTTCCGGACAGTGACTCAGCGCTGGTGTTTCAGAAAAAGGTGAAAAGGACACGGTGAAGCCTCTGAGGAGAGACGAAGAGGACAGTGAAGGTCACATCCAAAGATCAGATCCTTCGAGTGGAGAATCGTTCCTGATAAATGTTCACTGATGTATTAAATAAGATCCGGCTCCGTGTTTTATCACCGGACGAGCTGTCACGTCGCGTCGCACCAGGCCTGCGCTGGAATGTCTCCTCTCTCAGTCTGTTTCTTCTGCTGCTGAATATTTCAGGTGTTTGATGAAATATAGATGTACGAGCAAACAGAAGATGACTTCACTTCCCTCCGTGTCGGGATTATTATTTTATTTCTCTGTACCGAGAGTCTGAGCAGGAAACTCTGAGGGTTGTGGAACCACAGTCGAGTTCTGCTGTAAAATGATTTCATGACAGAAAACGGTGTTGGATCATCGTCCTTCTTCTTGCGACGCAGATGAGTTCCGGGGCTGCTCGGTGGTGGAGCTGATGAAGAAGGAGGGGACAACGCTCGGACTGACGGTTTCAGGCGGCATCGACAAAGATGGGAAACCCCGGGTTTCAAACCTGCGGCAGGGAGGCATCGCGGCCCGGTAACGTGACACTTCCTGTTCTACTTGAGTCTTTTAGAATTCTTTTGTAGTTTTGTCCTGTTGCTCTTGTTGAGGATTGAGGACAGAGGATGTCCAACCTTGTTCAGCTTGAGACGAATTCTGAATTTGATTGATTGATCGATTCTGTTTAATTAAAATCTAATCTGTTTTTGGTTTTTGACCTGGTTCACGGTTTGTTTGATTTGAAAAAGATGGACTCTAACGTTTTGACTGTTTCAGGAGCGACCAGCTGAACGTGGGCGACTACATCCGCGCCGTGAACGGCATCAACCTCTCCAAGTTCAGACACGATGAAATCATCAGTCTGCTGAAGAACGTCGGGGAGCGGGTCGTCCTGGAGGTCGAGTACGAACTGCCGCCCGTCTGTGAGTACGAGTTACAGTAGCAGAACAGAGTTAGTGCACATGTAAACCTCATATAACTTTATTTATAAATGATGAACAGACAATTATAGTTATCTGATTTATTTGTGTGTATTAAATAATGAAACTCTAGAATTTGAAATATAGAACTCTTCTACATTAATTTCAGATTTTATGACCAAAGATGTGTGCGTATTAATTGTATTTTGAGTTTTTGACAAAAGAAGAACTTTATACTCGACACGTGTGATAAGGACAAAAAGAACAAACACAGACAGTGAAGTTTGTGTCCAGAGGATTAAAGCTTCAGTGGCTCAGACGTGATGTTGACGTGTCGATGTCGTGGTGTGTTGCAGCCGTGCAGGGGTCAGGGGTCATGTTCAAGAACGTGGAAGTCACGCTGCACAAAGAAGGAAACAGCTTCGGCTTCGTCATCAGAGGTGAGTGTGTGTGTGTGTGTATATGTGTGTGTGTGTGTGTGTGTGTGTGTGTGTTTGTAAAATAAATACACATGAATACACGACTGTGTGTTGCAGGAGGGGCCCATGAAGACAGGAACAAGTCTCGTCCCATCGTCGTAACAACAATCAGGCAAGGTGGACCGGCCGACAGGTGAGTGACCTCTGAACGCTTCGTCCTCTGCTGAAAAGTTTTTATAAATCTGATGGTTTATTTACAATCATGAGTTTCAGTAACTGAAAGTCTTGTTTTTATTCATGGAAAAAAATCACCAGCAATTTATTAAGATTTAAAAACAACATTGAGTAAAGTTCTTTATGAGATAGTTTAAATAAAATAAGAGGATTTTAGTAAATTAACAAAATCAGTAGCTTCGGTAAAAACTCAAATGTCCTCTTCTCTCTCTCTCTCCCTCTAGAGAAGGAACCGTCAAACCGGGCGATCGGTTGCTAAGCATCGACGGGATTCGTCTCCACGGCAGCACGCTATCGGAGGCCATGAGCATCCTGAAGCAGTGTGGACAGGAAGCTACGCTGCTGCTTGAGTATGACGTCTCAGTGATGGGTCAGTTCATTCAATCGATAATAAAACAGGACCGGGGGTGGAACCCTGTGGAACACCGTTAATGATTCACTCTGGAAATAAAGTCAGTGGATGAACCATGAATGATAATTGTTCATTTGTGTTTCTGTTGTCAGACTCGGTTGCCACGGCGTCAGGGCCGCTGCTCGTGGAGGTTGCCAAGGCGTCTGGTTCCAGTCTGGGCGTGGCTCTGTCCACCTCCATGTTCTGCAGCAAGCAGGTCATCATCATCGACAAGGTCAAACCAGCCAGTATAGCAGACAGGTACGTGACCTCTGACCTCAAATAACATGAGTTCAACACCTGAAGGCAGCAAATGTCATGTGGCCTGAATTTAAAATTATTTTATTGATGCAGTTGATGCATTGAGTTTCTTACCCATGTCATTGTGTGTGTGTGTGTGTGTGTGTGTGTGTGT